GACGCGGGGGCGCCCCGGGGGGTGGGGGGGGGCCATCAAACCCTCTGGACCCAGCGCATCGCAAGGTCTGGGTAGGAAGCAATCCCCTTTTGGCCCCACGTGTCCCATCCACCGCCTCCCTCCAGCTCAGCCCCCAGCACCACCGGCATTTGCGGCACACTGCACCCTGCGTGCACAGCTCCTAGTTGCCTGCTCCCTGTCTTTAAATAATGAGGAAACTGTAAGTGGATAGTTAGCTGTAACCTTTAGCCCAAGCAAATAGCTGTAACTGAGTTATAAATCCTTAAAACTGAGTTTTTAATGGAAACATTAAAATAACCTTTATCTGTTAGTGATAGGACTGCACGGGGGTGATTTATCTTCTTGTTACTTGCTCCTTCAGCCACACCTTATTAGTTCCTGAGCTAATGGGGTGATATTTATCCTGGGCTCTAACTGAGGGTCGTTAAGCAGGAACACAAGCCGGTGGTGCCAAAGAAGTGCTGTGAAAGTGGGGAGAATCCAACCCAGCCAATGTCAAATGGATGCTCCTCCAGGAGCGAGCTGCTTAGTTGTGAGCCTTTGCTGGGGGCGATTTCTAGTCATTTAAATGGTGTCTGGATCAAATTTTATTGCAGTAAGGAGCCCACTGCCAAGATGGCATTGGTTTAGGAAAGGTCTTAAATATAGAGGTTGGCTGTTTCAGGTCCTGCTTGCCGAAATTTTAGCAGTTACTTGTTTGAGCGCAAAGGAAAAAAGAGTGTTTCTTCCGATTTGACCTCCAAGAGAGCTGCTATATTAGGTGATCTCTCACTCAGCTAGAAAACACCTTTAGGTATCAGAGGTGTGTTCTTTTAATGTTCTCTGGAGGAGGAAAATGCCATTTATGTGCCCGTTAGTGTCTTCATGCAATCACGCTGGGCTCGGAGAACCACTGTCCTCCCGTGCAACCCTGCTGGGCTCAGTAGGACATGGGGTTTAGGTGAGGGCAAAACTCATCCCTCAGCAGAAAGGACTCACTCTACGGCAGTGCCATCTGCTTGCAGGAAGCTGGTGGGACCAGATAGCCTTGCGGCTTTCCTGGAGCCCCTGAGATTGCAAAGGTCGAGGTGCGGGGTTGTAAGCCACAAAGTGCAAAGAAAACTTTGGCTCTCCGGTATACTTATCCATATTGAAACCACTGACAAATCTTTGCACACCTTTGGCAATTAATGACTGGTTCTAGATGATCTCATTAGCGTCCTGGGAAATCTTAGGTTGTCCACAGTGAGGCTCGTGTTTTCGTGTCAGTAGGTTGGTGGATTTTGCCATTTGAGTCGTTTGCTCTCTGTGTTGCTTTACCGCCTCTGCTTTTTGCTAGCTGTGCTGCAAAGCTGTGCCCTAGTGAATGTGCAGAGCACATCCGTTTCCCTTGGATGTGATGCGCGTTGACGGAGGGGGACCAGCCCACATCAGCAGGCTGTGTCAACAGCATGGGTCAGGACAGAGCAATCTCGTAGATCCAGGAAACTCTAGCAAGTGGGGCAAGAAGTCCCACTGGCAGCTGGGCAAAGATTTGACAGACTTGAAATCTGGGTCCAGATTCTCCATTGACAGAAGGCAGTGCAATAATTTTCTTAGGAATTGCACTTTTTCGTATGGACCTCCAGATAACTCTGTTAATCTTTGCTATGGAAATATCCACCTTATCTGGCTGGGAGGCAGGAAGATACGGCCAAGCAGTAGGAGGGAGGTGAACTCCAGATCTGCCCAGGCTAGCTCCAAAATAGCTCTGTGGCATGAATAACTCTGGGGAAGTCGGGTTCACCCCAGCTACTCCCCGGCTAGCCCTGCCACCGCGGCTTGTGGATTGATTTCCTGCCAAGCTTGCCTGGAGTGAGCCAGGCTCTCCGGAGAGCTGCAGACACAGGGGCAGAAATGCAAAACATCCATTTTGGAGAAAGGCAACTTAATTAAAAAGGAGCGTGATATGTTATGGTGTATATCAGTGGAACAGCTTTATGGGCTTTCCCGGGCAGCGGCTGGGACTGCGCTAACTTTCCTGCCCTTGCCTGCCTCTGCTTGGTACCTGCTTTGTGCGTCAGCGAGCCGGGAGGAGAAGGCCACAGCGGCTGCCAAGGGGGCCCAAGGCCAGGCGTCCTGCAAAAACGTACCCAGGCGGAAAGCACGGGCCCTTCAGAGTCCCGTGTTCCCCATATTTGCCTCTTCTAAAGCTGCACCGGAGAAGCGGAGGTCGGCTGAAGCTGAGCACCTTTCCCTGGCACGCACAGAGCTCTGCAGCGTGCTTAACGCCGCGGGGGCTCAGCAAGCGCTGGCGTTGCCGCCGCCCTGCCCCGACCCCTCTTACGTCTGGGAAAAACCTTTTCGCCCCATTTGAGGAGCAGGCAAGGCTGCTGCTGCGCACAGCTCCTCGTGCCCTTCTCACTCGATGTTTTCTCACTGCCCTCCTTGGGGCTGCGTTATTCCTGGATTTGCCTTGGGGAAAAACGAGATCAAACCGTGTCCTGGACACACCTGCACGGACATCTCTCCTGAAAAAGGGCAAGCCAAGCCCTCTCTGTGCCGTGCTGCTGGGTTCATTACAGGCCCCTCGTTTACCTGTTTGGCTGGCGAAGGAGTATATGTGGAGCGCGTGCCGCCTTCCCCTGTGCCTCTCCCTCCCCTCCCAGGCTGGAATTTCCCCTGGCTCCAGGGAGGTCTCGGAGGCCGGCTCGTCCTTTCCCACCCCGGCAAATTAAAATCCCGGCTGAGTCAGAGCGCAGAGCTCTGTCAGCTCTTGCAGATGTGGTGCCTGACAGGGGCTGCTCCATCAGATGTTCCTGCCAAGCTACAGGGAGAGAAAAGACCAAGATTAAAAAAAAAAAAAAAAGACCCAAAAGATATGTTGTGGGAAGCTTTCTAATGGTTTGGGTGGGTGGTTTTGCAATGGGCTTTGTAGGCTCTGAGCAAAGGAGACGCTGTTTTGGGGGAGTTTACTGCTGGTTCATCTGTGAACTGTCTGGGCAGGGCAGGGCAGGTGGGTGAGGTTGCCTTCTCACTCCCTCCCGTGTGATGTGGTGGGACGTGAGCCCCCTCCCCGCACGGCTGGAAAACGCCGTGGCAGAGGTTTCAGCCTTGTGCAGGTGCTGTGGATTCCCAAGATTTTTGCCTTTTGAGAGTTTGCGAGAGACACCAAAGTCCCGTTTCCCTAAGACTCTACCTTCCTTCTGAATAGTTGCTACCTTGAAAACTGAGGCTCACTGCACGAATATGCGCATTTGTAGCGTGTGAATGAGACGACTCCTGAGGCAGTGGGGGACTCAGGGGCTGAGGCTGGGCGAGGTGGACTGGAGAAGGGTGGGATCCAGGCTGGAGGTGTCCGTACATCCTAACCTACCCCAAAATCCTAACCCTAGAAGGATGATGATTACACAGGGAGTTATACCGCGCTATGTTACAGTAGCAGGGGACTGCAAGTCCTCTCCTTCCTGTACTGATGTCCAAGTTTATTGCAGACAAAGGTTTGGTCTCATCGCATGTTTTTCTGTTTGGCTGCAGGGCCGCAGGGGCCTGGGGTCCATTTTCGTCTGGGCGTCGGGAAACGGAGGCAGAGAAGGCGATTACTGCTCTTGCGATGGCTACACCAACAGCATCTACACCATCTCCGTCAGCAGCACCACCGAGAACGGGTACAAGCCCTGGTACCTGGAGGAATGCGCCTCCACCCTCGCCACCACCTACAGCAGTGGGGCCTTCTATGAGCGAAAAATAGTAAGTTTTCTCCCCTCTTCCCACTGCCCTGAGTGGGACACTGTTTTGCCGAAAGCTTCCCCTGCAGTGGGGATAGCCGGACGCACGGCTGAGTAGCGCAGAGTTATTTTCCTAGAAATGCCGGCTCACGCTGTAACAGCCCAGCTGTGTTTCGCCCCAGAGGTGACTGCTTTTTGGCAGAGGTGAGGCAACACGCCTTTCGGATGGGAGCCTTTAGAGAGAAAGAGGTTGAGTATAAGGAGCCAGTGTGGAGCATAATTGCTGGTGGCTTGGCAAAGTTTCTAGACATCCTTACTCCAGTGCGCTCTCTCTTAGGAATTTATTTACTTTAGGCATCATTTCAGTTTTTTTACGCTTTGGCCCAGCCCAGCAAATGTTTAGGCATGTTTACCTTCGGAGTCGATTGGACTTCTTGGACAGCTGAAATGCAGCACGGGCTTGTCAGTAAGATCTGGGCCTTACCTTTAGCTCTGTGGTGCATTTGGCTCATGGTTTTTCTAGTGAAACTCTGCAAAATTGCTCAGGGGAATGGCTCCAGTTGTCTCTTCCTTGAGAGGAGCTTGGGTGTCTTTTTTTTCTTGTACCTAGGTGAGAAGCAGTGCTGGAGGTTTGCAAAAACACAAGGGTGTGCAAACATTTACCTGTCTCCTAACGTTCTCCCTGCTTAAAGAAGGGAATTTCAAGGATTTTAACCTGAGACAGGAACGAAGAGGGAAGACGGAGGTGTTTGGCAGGGATTTGGGAAACCTGAATGCAAGTCCTTGCTGTGCGGCACCCCTCGGGTGCCCTCGGTGAGCTGCGTAATGTCTCGCGACTCAGCTCCCCATCTGCAAAGCAGGAATAGGAGCAGCTCTCCCTGCACAAACATTGCCTGAGGATTGATGCATTACCGACCGTGGGGTTCCCGGGGTATCGCAGGTTTTTGGAGCCTGGAATTAAGAGGAACAAGTGATGAACCTTGCCTGAAATGCATGCACACACAGTAGTTTGTCAGCTGAATAAACACAGCGGAGGTGTTTCCTTACCTACCACTGCGTTGCCACCCGCTGTACGCGCAGGCTTGGAGTGCTCCCTGCCCAGAGCCGGAGGGTGTGATTAGCGCAAGCGAGCGGTGGGGGCTGGGAGAGCTGTGCTTTGATGCCAACTTACAGCCAAATCCCACCCATCTCCAAAAGAGACCTCTTGATCTGAGCAGTGATTTTTGAAGCCTCGTGGAAGCCTATGCTGCAAAGGTGATGTAGTTAATCAGCAGTTGTGTGCATCCTGGCTCAAACTTGAGTGCCTCCTGCTACCGGCAGAGGCAGGAAGGGCTTCGCTCCAGCCTTGCACTGGTTGACTGTGTCTCTGCTAAAACTACGCCTGTGCATGTCCTGCTGCAGAGCGTCTGCCTGTCCCCTGGAAAGGCAGCACCTGCCCTCGGCACCCAGCGCAGGGAGGGGCACGAGTAGGGAGCCGGCAACCCGGCTTGGCAGCTACTGCCGCATGTTGCTCAAGGTAGTTGCTTCAAATATGTGTGAATAAAACACGCCTGAACTCAAAGGGCCATCTGGCTGCACGGCAGCCTGCTGGAACAGGATTTTGTGCGCGTCCTGACAAGACTTACGCTCAGCGAGGTTACATGGCTCCAGGAGGCGTGAGGTGTATTTTAGTCGATTAGTCACACAAAGGTGGATGTGAGAGGGCTCTGATGCCAGGACAACAGCTTTTAAGAAAAGCCAGCAAGCTCTTATTTTTTCCCATTTGGTTTCCTCCTTCAGGCTGTTGCAATAGAGAGCTTTCCCTCAAAGAAGCAGTAAGGCAACGTCACACAGGGTTAATGAATCCTTTTACTGGACATCTTGGATATTTTTCCCTGCTGTTCAGGCTATTTTTGCCCTGTGACAACAACTTTTGTGGTCTCTTTGCAGCAAGACATTTCCTTATGAAAGTCTCTGTGCGTCATCTGCAACTCAGGCAATCAAAACATCACCCACCAGTGCTACACATTACCGGAGCTGATAGGGAAATTTCTACCCAAATTATTTTTTGACAGAAAATGAAGTTTTTACAAGTTAACTTTTTTTTCAGGAGTGATTTCAGTTGTGCCCAAAAAAACGTTAATGTCCGCCCAGAAACCAGACTTGAAGCGTCTCTGTGGGGCCGTCTTTCGTGATCCTCACATCCCACGTCAGTCCACCAGCACATGAATGAGCAAGCAGCTGTGTCAGAGCTGGGCCAAATCAGCAGTTTCCAAGGCAGCCTCATTGAGAAACAGAGTGGCAAATTCCTCCCCAAAATCATGACATTAACTCAAAACCCACGAGCCTTTAAAAAATGTAATAAACTGAACATCTCTCCCCACCTTTGCTCTCCAAGGTTTTAGCACTCTAACTTTGAGCTTCTCTCTGCAACTAGAAAGCTGGAAATAGTTTTCTTTTTTCTTTTCTTTTTTTCCCCCCATGCAAATGGAAATTTGTGCACAACACCAGGAGCTGGAGCTTTTAAGAAAACCTGCTGATATGGTGGAGGAGACCAGGGCTTCTTGCTCTGTGCGAAGACGCACACGCTTAGCCCCGCTTGCCGCGCTCCAGCCGTGGCTTTTGCTCTGTCTGCTCCGTGGCAAAACTGGCTTTCCTGCCTTTCAAATAGACTTAGCATCTTTTAGCAAGGTAGCTAAAGGAAAATGTAAGTGTGGGAGCTTTCTCACCCCCTAAATGCTTCTGCAGCCCTCTCCTTCGGCTCTGGGCGCCCCGGAGGTCTCGGAGCTGCTGCGGTGGTTAGGTACCCACAGCTCTACTCTCTGGTGGCTGCTCAGCAGCATCTTAAGCAACTCTCGAGCTTTCAGCAGCGCGTGGCATCCCCCTGCCCACGCCAGGAGCCTCCCTGCTCCGCAGTCTCGCTGCCAAGCCAGCTGCACCGCTCTGAGCTGCGGCATCTCCGTCCGCAGGTCACCGCGGACCTGAGGCACCGCTGCACAGATGGCCACACCGGCACCTCCGTCTCTGCCCCCATGGTCGCCGGCATCATCGCCTTGGCTTTGGAAGCAAAGTAAGTTAACCTTTCCACCCTCACTGGCTGCTTTGGGGTGGGATGTTTCCGACTCGGTACCCAGTGATCAAAACCAAACCAAAACAAAAAAACAAACAAAAAAGCTGAGTTTTTCTCTAGAGCTGCTCAAAACGGGTCAAAGTTATTCTAAATTGCTCCTGTCTTGCAAGGTTTGATATAGCACTGTTATTTTGTGTCTGATTTTCCTGTGCGTGTTTTATTGAGCTAGTTCTTCACTTGTCCTCTTTTTTGAAAACTTGGGTTTTGTAAGATAAGTCAGGCTTTTCATTTGGTATGTTGAAAACACTGACAACCAGCTCCGAAAGGAGTTTTGTAAATACCTTGTTGAAAAAATATGTCAGAAAATGTCATGGAAAAATGGAAAACGTCTGCAAAAGTGAAGGTTTTCACCAAGTGTTTCATTCAGGGGAAGAGGACTGCTTTTGCATAACGTCAAACTCATGCAGCGTGAACAGCAGCAATCCTCTCCCCATTTCAGACGTGCTCTGGTGGGAAACGTGAGCCGCAGCTGAGCCCTCTGCTTTGTCAGCCCTGGCCCAGTCCCGGTCCCAGCCCCCTCTGCACCGCGCAGCATCACCAGCCCCGGCCAAGCGGCGCTGTCTTCCCTGCGTCTCCCCGTGGAGCATTTTCTCATGAGCTTCTCAGTATTAATTTTTTTATGGCACTGAAATAAAATTGAAACCAAGCCGTGGCTTTGTCTCCCAAAGCCATGGATAAACCATAGGTAAGCATGAGTGGCAAGGCGCTGCGGAAGAATAATACGATCGCATTAAGGGATGGAGTCCGCGGCATATCTGGCTTAATTTGTCTTCATCAGTCTCCCCCCTCTCCTTTGCAGCTTCCAGACATTTGGCTCCGTTTTAAATCTCAGAGCCCAGGCTGGGTGAACATGTTTCAGGAGATGTCATTTTCATTACAAATATAGTAGGAGAGTTAGATGTAATTTTTGAATTGTTTAGTTGGAGCATAAAATGCAACATTAGGAACCAGGGCATGGTGCGAAGAGATGCAGGCGCTCAGACGCTCCGTTATGATGAGAAGGAATAAATTAAATTTCTCTTCCTAAATGTTATTTGATAGACTTACAAATCAAAGCTTGAGATGCTCAAGAAATGACTGTAAGAGAAAGCATGGAAAATTCTTCAAAAATATCTCTGAGCTGGGGTCTTGGGTGCTGTTCAAAAGCCAATAGGGCCCTGTATCCAGTGCCCGTGAACGCACGATCATCATGTAAATCTTGCCTAAGGTCTCGCTTTGAGTTTCGTTTTTCTGTTAAATGAGGGACCCTGTTTGTTTCCAGCAACGTTTTCCATTACTGCTACAAAGGTAGGATTCGCTCCGCAGTGTGTATCAATGAGCTGTTGCATTTAGTACCCCACGCCGGGATTTGATTCGTTCACGATTCCTCATTCCTGATTAGCTCTGGTTACACCTTGGGGCATGAAAGCTAAATATCTTTTGTCTGAAATAAATCCCTGTGAACGTCCTCGACCGCGTGCCGTCCTCGGTCCCCTCCGGCTGGCCTGGGCTCTGCTCCTCCTGGAGCACTGCAGCCAGTGCCGCCCCCTTGGTCCTGGGCACCACAAGCGACTGCCAAGCTCTCGGCAGGACAGGTAGCAGTTATTAATAACCGCTTGATTATTTATTGATATCAATAGCTGAGACCAGGGCGGTGCATCGAGGTGGTGCAAAACCACAGCTCTGGCAAGGCAAAGGTGCCTCGTAATCAGTGTTTCTCTGCGCCCATGTTGTTGCAGCCCCTTGCTAACCTGGAGGGATGTCCAGCACCTACTGGTTAAGACCTCGAGGCCAGTGCACCTGCGAGCAGCCGACTGGAAGACGAACGGCGCGGGGCACAAAGGTGAGGCAGGCGTGCAGGTTCGGGACCCTCCGCACTTAATGTCAAGTGAGTGCAGAGAGAGGATATTTGCAGAGACTTTTTTTTTTTTCTAGCCAATGATTTGCGTAGCTGAAATTCAGCAGTCTGCTTTGCTTGTCCTTGTGTTCTCTCCTCTCTGACTCGTGTTTGGATAAGGAGGTTTTATTTGCAAGAAAGTCTGCAAAATGCAAAATAACGGCCCCCGAAGCCCTGCTCACAAGGGTGTTTTCCCCAAACAACTGTTCTCAGATGGTTTTGAAGCTCCTGCGCCAGCTGTATCACAGGCTGTTGAACGGCCCAAGGAGTGGGCAATAATTCGCAGTTCGATAATCTCTGCAAAAGCCTGCTTGTCATCGGCTATCCTGAACGGCGGAGCCGCAACATCTGCTGCCTGTTTCATCAAGCAGCAGCTGGCCAGCGCTCAGGGATTTGAGACGGTGAAAGGAAACGGCTGGAGAAGAGCTAGCTAAGCCTGGCCCACACTTCCACTGGAGCCAGCCAACGCCGGACTGCCCAAGGCGTCGCGGCTGAATAAAACCCCAAAGTCAGCCCTGGCCGTTGCTGAGCGCTGGCTGCCCACACAAAAGGCGAAAAGTGGGCAGCTTTCTGCTGAGGCGGGCTGCTCCCTGGGACGGGGCTTTTCACAGCTCCAGGGCACCTTTGGGGTGTAACTTGGCCAAGTCGATTAGCGCCTCGTACCAGAGCAGGAGCAATTTTGCACCTTCCCAAATGGTTGGGGGATGTTTCGGGTGTGTCGGTGCTTTGCAACGCAGCCTGGCAAAGAGAGGCCGGCACTTCTGCGAACCCAGGACGGAGCAGCCCTCTCGCCCTGCACAACGCCTCGGGAATTAGCTAGGAACAGTTTTGCCTAGGATGGGGTCTAACGTTGCTGCAGGGCCAGCCCGGTATATCTACGCCTACACACAGCGTTTGCCTGGCGATCGCGGCCGTGTCGCAACTGTGTCGTATAGCACAGAAGTAGTAGCAGTATTTTTAAGGAAGTGGGTTTCTGAGTCTTCTCTCTTTTCAGTTAGCCATCTATATGGATTTGGTCTGGTGGATGCAGAAGCTATTGTGATGGAAGCTAAGAAGTGGAAATCAGTCCCCCCGCAGCATGTCTGCGTTGGTAGCCTGGACAGGGTGCCCAAGTGAGTATTGCTGGGTGTGAACCCCTCCTGGGACCGAGGGATAGACGGCCTCTTGCAGTAATGGTTTGGTGAAGTCATCTTTGCGTTGCAAAGACTCTGTCCCGGGCTTAGCGTTTTCTGGTTGCCTGGATTCAGGGAGGAAACAATCCCCTTGCAAAGACTTGCTCACTTGTGACTCGCTGTGTGTTTGTGTTAAAATCTCACTTGCCAATGGCGCATCCAGCCAGACCATGAAACAGAGTTTCTGAAGACCCTGGGTACTACCATGAGTGATATCTTAAGCTGGGGGAACTTTGGATGTGAATCCTGGGTCATTTTGAGCTGCCTTCCCCAGACAAGCCAGGAAAGTTTCTCGTATTTTTTTGGTTAATGTTTCTTGGTACTGATATTGCTTCTGAGATACTAAGATGCAAATTTCCCGTGTGTTGTGCTTCATGTTCACTACCTTGCTGTGCTGCTCTGCAGGGAGGAATATAAACTCTACAAAAAATTACAAGTGGTTTGCTTCTTGGAAATTAAGAGTCGGGTGAACAGGACAAGTCCTATGGCGTTGCCAGCCTGCATGCAAGGCATGATAAAAATCCCTTGCTATTCCAGTTGATAACAATTTTCTCCTCTGTACAAGCATCTCGAGCCTAGCAGTGATTCACAGCCCCAGGTGAGCCTCAAAGCAAGGGAATATTCATGGATTTTAAAGTTAGAGCAACCCCTGCCAGCCGATCCGATCTCCTGTGTATCGATCCAGAAGTGCCCGCCCGGGATCTGTACCTGCAACACGAAGACGAGTGGGTCCTGCAGGGGCCAGGTTAGGCTGCAGGTGATTTAT